TATATATATATATTGATGGGTGTGCTGCCCCTATAGTTTATTGTATGATACAGTTACTCAGCCTTCTATACATGAGGCAAAAAGGTTGACTCTTTTGTCAGGCTGGCAAATCGCTGTTTTCCATTAGAATGTGCTGGCTTTTTTCACGTATGTTTTCTTCTTTTTTTTCATCTCCTTCACACAGGAAACGTTTTCAGTGAACCTGTAGGAGAAAGAATTGCTCTGCTGTGAATAGTGCGATTTGGAAACCGCAACATGGAAGCAGCTGTGCTTGCTCCCTCTTTGAAAAGCATTGCCCCTCAGCAGGAGTACCTTTTGCAGGTAATGTAGCCTTTTAGGATGGTGCCATCTTTAGCAATCTTTGTGATCTTTGATGTAGGGAAGCTGCAGCCATAAGCTCTCTTCTCCTTTTAGGGCTACTATGGTACTCATCTGTGATTTGAATGAAGCTATTCACAAATAAGGTGTAGTTTCAGGGAACTATTTTAGGAAAGCGTTATTTGGAGTCGACTCCCCATAATGTCAACTGGTAATTGGGAGTCGATTGCCCATTTATGCAGTTGATGTTATTGGGAGTCACAAAAGCACATTTATCTTTTACCTCAAAGGGTTTTATCGAGGTTCCTTCGCAAAATTACGAAAGATGATTCAATCTGCTTCAAAGTAAAAAAAGATAAACAAAAGTCAATTTCTGAGTCGAGTCTACCTCATTTGCATTTAGGGAGGACTTTCATAGTTTGAGTTGCCACCATGGACAAGCACGGCTTTCTCCGTACCGGTCTACCTTTGTGTTGTTGTTTTTCGTGCGCCCATGTCGTAAGGGTTAAAGATAGAAATACTAGTAACCGATTTCATTTCACTCGTGTTTTAAATGAAAGAAAAAAGGGAACCTAACCCTAAAACTTACCGTAACCAAAAAAAGAAAGGCAACGACTGATCAGGGGGCTGAGCCTCCGGAAACACCCCCCACAACTACCTTAAAAGAACAGAAAACTTACCCTAATCACTCAGGTATGACAGGAAGAATGATGTATGGCCCCATGAATAAACCACTGGTGAAAGATCCAATCAGTGAGTTGAGGAGGGGAGATCAATCAATAATCTTCCAACTTGTGCCCCTCAATTAACATCTCAACCGAGTTGGAGTAAAGCAGTCTGCCCACTATGTGACTACCCCTCAGAGACAATGGAACGTCATCTGTTCTTCTGTAGAAAACTAACCGATCTGAGGGGATGTTTTTTCCCAAGCGACCCCACACATCTAACTGCCTCTACTCCTCAAGACAACAATTAGAACAGACATACAGCTTACAGAATGGCATCATGCAGAAGAGTTAATGCTCAGGTGCTACTGGATTGCTAACAACAACAACCCTAATCACGCTGAAACTAATCACTGACTTATAATCACAAAAATTACTGACATTACTCCCCCTCTCCATGCACTGTCTCATAATAATAGGAAGGACTTCCATAACAAGCGACCACCTCGACAAATACAAGAGACCTAACCCTAACTCAACCCCTAACCCAACCCTTACCCCTACCCCTACCCCTACCTCTACTCCTAACCCTCAACAAACACATTAAAGGATCACATTGTTATGATCTCTGACTCCTAATAACATCAAGTGATGAATGGGAGTCAACTCCTTATAATACCAAATGATTATGACTCCCGATTAGCTCTTCGCTATTTTACATATCATTGTCTTTCACAGGGAGAAAAGTTATGCCATTTTCTTTTTTCTTTAGTTATTTATGCATCGTTCAGACTGGACTGAGAACTTGAAGTATTTACGGCATAACGGTGAAGTAGGAAAGAGGGGTTAGTATTTTTAAGTGAGCATATCTTAACAGGAAAAATTTGCTTAATTTTACTTTAACATAACAGCTACTGAATATTTTTTCATTGTGAATACATTGTAATACAGTCTTCTATTTGTATAAGTTCATTTGTACAATGTTTTTGGGTCACATTTTGTGACAAGCCATCACACTACAGTCCGTCTATTTCGTTGTTGAACTTGACAACAGAAAAAGTACAAACTTGGCGTGTCACGTTTTGCATTCTAAAAATACATCGATTTCAGAATTAAAAATATTTGTAAGATTTCTTCTGATGGCCCAACTTCTATTTCTCTGCTCCCTTAGCTGAAACCTCATATCAAGCACGACATATACAAAGTTCAAAGCTGAAGCACCATTTTCATTGGAATAAGAAAGGATTTTGTAAAGTATACATATATGAAGAAATCCCCACCTTTTGGCAAAGGCTCATATATATATTTACTATCTATTTGTGGTGGCCGAATTTTGCTATTCAAAAGGCTTTTTAATGGCTGCATCGACATGCGGTTTTCGCCAAAAGATTCTTTAAAATACTCCCCAGATCACGACGCCCTTCGTTTTTTCAGTTTTGAGACAGTTTTGCTGCAAAACGCTAAATGTCTTTATTTCGCCAATCGCTTTTGTAGGACGACGCTTCTGTCTCTGTAATTTTAAAAAACCCGGAAGTGATATTTCCCGAGGCACATTTTGTTTTGAGAGTATAGATCTAGACCCTCTAATTTTTTGCATCTGTCAAGATTTTTTGCTCCATTTCAGTAGAATGTAAATATAGTAGGCCTATGACTTTTAGTTGATATTAAAGCACCGATCATTCCTTTCACTTTCATCGAAAGGGGGCCCAGCTAGCATATATATACAGTCGAACCTGTGTAAGACGGAATCACAAGGGAGCAAGAAAAAAATTCAGTCTTAGGCAGGGGAATTTAGGGGGGAGATGGAGGTTGAGGTGGGGGAAGGTGGGGGGTTCAAAGGCCCAGCTGGTGGGATCAAGGATCGCTTGTCCAATCGTCAAGCAGTGGTCAAAACTTCTCACCTCTCAATTGCTATCCTGTCTGATAAGGACATACGTCAGTCTTACTTATCCAATTACCACCAGTGCTTGCCTTTCATAGGACCACTGTTTGACCAATCAAAAACAGAAACGTTTGAACATCTCCTTTGCTTCCACCCTTAGCCCCACCCACCAATGCCACCTCTCACTGCCTTCATTGTAACAACGATTCGAGGAACTCTTTTCTCGGCAGGCCGTAAGATCAGGGCGATTTCACACTTCTGGCTTCTGGCTACCCAGGAAAGTTATCGTGGTGGCTGGCTACTGGAGCACTCTCACGAGCAGTTGTGAGATTTCACACCCACATTACACTGACCATCTGCATCACTCAGGGCTCACATGATGGGGTAACATCAAGGAGTTTACAGTAGTTTTAAGCTCCTTGGGTAACATCTACCCCCAAATTGCACCCCTACTCCCCTTCCATGCCCAGCGGTATGACCATAGCGTTAAGTTTAGAACCGGCGGAACCAAACTTGCGAGTTTTGTTTCAAATCAGGGCTGATCGGGCAAAGCATTTTCCGTCTTAGACAGGTGAAACCCTCGGAAGGGAGCAGATTTTTCTTTCCGTTTCCGGGTTGGACAGGTTTCCGTTTTATACAGGTAATAAGAGGAATATATCAAGGGGGGAGCGGGGAGATTCCGTTAAGACAGGTTTCCGTTAAGGCAGGTTCGACTGTATATACATATAGTCTTTGTATTTCCTATTGACTCAAGAATATTGTCAATCTCACATATTTTTGCCTCTAATGTTCTCTGTGTTTCAGGGTAGTATACTGGATGCCCACAGGGATGTCCTGCTCCATCGACTGAGGGGTCTGTGCGACAATGCCGAGAACAGTCCAGAGTCTTTCAATGATTATGAAGCTGTTTACATGCTCAGTAAGGGCCTTGAATGAAAATTAAATATTTTCTATTTAACCCTCTCCGTACGCCATGGGGTCCTTTTGTACCCCCAGGGTTGTATTCTTCACATTTTATAATAGTTCTAGTCTGAAGTTCTCTTTAAAACTTTCAGTATTTCTCAAAAAATCATTTTGACAGACTGCTAAGCAAAGCGTACGGATCAGATTAACAGTAAATTTTCTCTTTGGAAAGAAGTGGCACAGAGTTCTTCACGTCTTATGGATAAGATAGTAAAACATGACGTACGGATAGGGTTAACCACTTGGATTATTTGAAATTTTTTTCTTTCTTTTTACCTCTTTGCGTGCCGCAGTTTGTCCACTCACTATGTGACTTGTGTATGAACATGGTGGTGTGACAGTGCTCGATACAAAAAGAGTGAAATAGGCTTTATTCAAGTCTGAAAAAAAAATTGACTGCTGATACTTTTCCAAGGTTGTCCTTGCATGTATGAGTTTTTCATTCTGTTACAATCTGTTATTTGATCTGAATGATTATCAGTTTTTGTTTAAGAGAGCGTGTCTAATCGAGGGATATCTAATATCTTTAGCAACTGGAACTTAGGCTGTTGTTTCTTTTGATAGTTGTGTCCCTGATATTTGTAAAGTATTCGTCACCACGGTGATAAGATCGGATAACTACAAAATTAATTTTGCTTTTTTCGTGAAGCCTATTCTACAAAGCATCTGTATATATATATCATATGCTGGTTAAAAATTTATATTCAAATAAACAACTGAAAGTGGACTTTTTTAAGAGTGGAAAAATTGGATAACTCTAAGACCTCCTTTTACTTTTAATAAATCAGTGTTTTTCTTCTCCTGAAAAAGTTACCCGATGTCTCTTATCCAATTTTATCACAATGGTGGCGATACATTTGCTTTTTGTTCTCATCATAGCAAAAATTTAATTTACTCAAACCTCATGCTATTGTGTCTTGCTGACTTTTATCGTAAATTATTGATGGGGCGAGAGACTTTCAGATAAGTATTTGAGCTTTAGTTTAAGAAATTGTGATAAAATAGTTCACATTTTTTTTTCTTACATCTTTTAAATGCAATAAATTAGAATCTAGTGTTGGTGATTGAGATTTACCCATTTCATACCCTTTTCTAAGTTTGTTCTTGTATAGTTGTTGAATTTGAAGACACCACAATAAAAATAATAATATGCACTTTGATTGTCTAACAGGAAACTCCAGCACCACACAGCAGAGTCAGTTTGTTTTGTTTCGTGTCCGCCATGCTTTAGACAGACCAGATGCCCCTGCGTAAGTTGCCTGTGTGTTTGTGTGTGTGTGTGTGTGCATGCGTGTGTGTGATTGTATTTTTGTGCTTGTTCAGTCGCAAGGATGAGATTACCACTACCTGTACTTTTGTCTTTTGCATCCATTTTTATTAGACTTG